CGCTCAAGCGATCTTCTTTGTTCCATAGATAAGTAGGTATCTCGCCAATGCCTTCTTTGAGCTTAGCCTTAGCTCCTTTGTTTATAAACAAAACTCCCTCAGCTACAAGTTGTTCCTTGATTCCATGCTCTGGTTCAAGCTCCCTTTTCTTGATGCTGCTCAATATCGCATCAAGCGGTGGGTCTTGGGAAAAAAAAGTCATCTCTAAAGATTTTTTGGTCCTTTTCTGACGTTTCTGACGGTACACAAAGTCTTCAGATGTAGATGCTCTTGGGCGGATGCTTTTATGTATTGGTGGAGGGTTTTGGAAAGAATCTGCAACGTCCATTTTGCTTTTCTCCTCTTCTTCTCTTCGTCTGGATTCCTCATGGTTCTTCTCTCTTAAGCTAGACCAAGGGAAAAAGCTGGAGGGTCGTCGATTATTGGGAATGATACCTAAGTAAAGTCTATCATGATTAGAATGTAGAAGACTAATAATAGACGACTAAACATTCCTCTATTAATAAAAGAACATTAGATTACAGTTCTTAATGAAATAAGCGACTAATAATAATCGATTACATACTTGTTCTTGGATACTTCGGTATCTAAATCTGGGAGGTTATCATTAGCATCGGCACCTGAACAGTCACAAGAAATGAAGGACAGAGTCGATTACAATATCAAAATACATAGATAACTACTCATAAATGAATATGAACCTGTCCTTTATCTAATTGGGAATTTGTGTCTGGGATGACTGCATTTTGGTGGCGGTTTGAACAGTCACAATACATATATGAAAATAATCAATTTCAAAATAGACGGCTACTAGTAGATAAATATGAACCTCAACTGACACGAATTCAGATTTTTGAGAGGTTTGCATTAACCTTGGTTGCCTGAACAGTAAGAGTAGATGAATAAAAAAATTCTATTACATAATAGTTGGCTATTAAAAGTTAAATGCGTACTTGCTCTTTAGCCGATTTGGAATTCAGAACTGGGAGGTCTGCAATATCCTCGGTGGCCTGCACAGTAACACGAGATTAATGGAATTATTCGATTACAAAATAATTGACTATTAATACCCGAATACAAATATGAACTTCAGCAGACTCAGAATTCAGATCTTGGAGGTCTACATTATCCTTGGTTGCCTGAACAGTAAAAGTAGATGAATGGAAAATTTATATTACAAAGTAATTGACTATTAGTATTCGAATTCCTAACTTTATCGAACTGAGAATTCGGATCTGGGAGATCTGCATTTTTGTCGCTTGCCTGAACAATACAAGTAAATGAATAGAAAAAATGATTGACTATTAGTATACATAAACGAAGCTGTTCACTTGAAAAAAGGTAAAAGTAAGTGGTTACTAATAGGCCAATACGCTTTGTACTTTAGTTTCCACTGAAGTTGGATCTGCAACAGGAATCGAATTGAGAAGGCCTGCCTGATTTTAATACACGATAAGGTTAGAGAGCTATATTGTCATACACGATAAGGTTAGAGGAACTGATATCTTGAAGCACTTAATCTATCCTATTAGTCGCCATGATTGATTCATCAATAAAAATATCCTCTCCTCCGTCTGGAAATTTGGTTCCATCATCCCCGGCATCATTCATGGAAATATCTGCGTTCTGTATTTCCCCTTGGTCTTCTTTTCAATAATTTTTCTGTTAGCGATGCAAAAAGATATTCAAAAACTTATGATATTCAAATCTAAAAAGGCGTTCTTGTCTTTAAAGTAAATCATGGCCAAAATTGGCAAGATATTCAAAATTTTATGATAAGATTGCCAGTATATTAAAAGAAAATCTCCACAACTCTTTACATTAAGGTGTTGATTGGTTCATTCGCTATCACCCGCAAACGCTACGTTTGTGGTTGGTAACAGTTAGTGACGTTTTATAACAACCAAAGAATTTGCTTTAAACCGCGTGGTATTATTTTGTACCGTTTTCTCACAAACATTAACAGTTGCGGGCGGTAACAGGTAGGTAAAAAAAATCATGTTAAAAAATTTATGAAACTCTAACCTTACTGTATTGCTTTTTATATATAAACTCTACCCTATCATTTTTTCTATCAAATTCTAGTCTTCGTACCTTAATCATGACTTCCATACTAGTTGAAAAAAATCAAGACACAAGCATAAGTGCCATAATATTTTGGAGAAATTGGATCTACTAAAAAAATTTACATCAGGACAAATTATGAAGATCCGCGTATTGGAACAAATTTTTTTCTAGTTTGTTATATTACTGGACACAATTTTGGGTGATATTCCTAACAATTAAAATAAAACATGTCATTGTAAAATTTATTAGTTTTTGAATAATTATTCAGTATTTATCTATAAATTTTTATTATTAATTATTGTTTAGGGGATTTTTGATTTTTTGCGAGGGTAAGTCTCCTGCAAAACCAGAAAACACATGAAGGCTTGGAAAACATGATGGGGGTGTGTTTTCTAAAGGTTTTCCGACACTCAAATCAGAAAACACTGAAGAAAGACCACAAAGTGGCAAATCGGAGAGAGGAAAGAGTTCAAAAACGAGAGAACGAAGATGGGCTGAGTGTTCCTTAGGAAGGAGGAATCAACTCGGGCCTTTGAGTGGTTATGGTTTTTTTTAGGTAAAAAAGAAGAAATGAAAGAGTTTGTGAGTGAAAATACTTCACTGTTTAGGAACCACCATGGAGAGGAACTGAAAAGTTGGTCGGAGTAATGACCAGAAAGTATAAGGTGCTAGGGCTCAAGGATCACAAATATTTAGAGAGATAATATGAGCCTTAAAATAGCGAAAAGAGTGATCTCCTTCCTCGTTGGAAGGGACAAAGTATTTATAGATTTTTACCTGATCCATGTTAGTATGCCAGGTCAGTCTGCGGATAGTGAGTTGGATGGGTCTTTCCACGATCCGACTTGACTGGATTTGAATCTTGTGTTTGCGTCATACTTCTAACGGTCTCACCAACTTTGCTTCGCATGTTTTATCTACTATGAGACCGTTCCTTGGCGCGTTTCTTTCGCCCGCCCTCAGTGTACGGATTGGATCGGCGGTTCAGACACGATATGGCTCTTGCTGAACCTCTACTTTTTTCTCTGGTTCCTGCGAATGGTCGCTTTCGCTTGACACATGTAAAAAAGATACATTAAATGTCAATCTCGCGGGTTTGTTAGGGTATGGGTAATCAAATTAGAGTAAGGCATATTTCTATTTTCGAATGGAGGAATATTTGAATAGTGTTTTCCGCTTATAGATTTACTCATACTTGGCCTGGATCCCTCGATACTGGAACCGAACTGCCAGGATTGCTTAGATGGATGACTCCGCTCTCCGGATACCTATGAATGCTACACTTCCTTATATCCCGATCTTTCCGGATTATCAAGCTTAGGTCTAGGACATAGAGAAGGTGACATCTACTCCTCCTGACCACTCAGTTTCCGACCTCCTTGTCCCTGACAGCATGGCCTTCGCTGTCAAATACGAGGAATCCAGGAACAAGTGGCATATTGTGCTGGATCTTCTGAATCCGAATGGATTTGAGGCCCGGTGTTATATGCTTAGGTCGTATAGGGTCGTAAGCCCAACACAAATCCTATTTAGCCCAGGGGGCCGTACTTGCAAAATACCATAGACGCAAGCATGTGATTCGTCCACATAGGAAAGATCAAATTTATCCCAAACAATTACTATGAATTTATCCCAAACAACCATAGACGCGAGCTTGCGATTCGTCCATGTAGGAAAGATCGAATTTATCCCAAACAATTACTATGAACTAATAATTTTGATATTTAGCATAATAATATAGTTTTTGATTTTTTTTATAATTATATATTATATTTATTTTGATAATTTTAAATTTAACAGCTAATATATTTGCTTGTTAATTAGTCAAAAATGTCTCACAAACGGGCTTTGATAGGATATTGAAAACGCTCAAAAAGACATATCTGCCTTGTTCTATACTGTTGGGGTCCAAGCTCAAATCGTGCAGCTCAAAGACCACTTGGACTACATTCTCACCTCATCTGGAACCCGTCTCGAAGAAAAATCAGTCCAATCCGAGTTCAGATGAAGAAGTTATTGAGTTTTCAAATCAGGTGAACTCGAGGTTACTCAATTTGGACCTACGCACGTTCAATGGAGGATTTCGACCAATCCAGAAGGAACTATTTTATGATCCGACTTGTTCTGGAATCTTGATTCATCACTTATCTTTTTAATAAAATTTCTCTTTGAATTTTCTCTTATGTTCTCTAAGAATTTTTCGATATTTTGGTGGTTAGCCATTGATCGATTTCTGGTTTATCAAGTAGTTTCACCCTGTTTGACGCAGCCTTCGTTTACAAAGTGTGAGAGAGAGTTTGTAGTCATATCTGGGGCTTAGGAAATTTCGAGACTTATCTCACACCCTGACATCCGGTATCGCAACCCCTTGTTCATCTTTGTCCATCTCCTCGTTTACGGTCATTTCTTTGGAATTGGGTCTAAGGATTTTCGAGTTGTACTCACGCCTTAGCATCTCTTCCACCGAAGCGGTCTGGATTCAAGGATCTATCAACCTCTACCAAGCCAAGTGTGTGACAATTTTAGGACGGTCTTCTATCAGGTTTGCTTTTAACTATTAAACTAATCATACAAACTACTAAATTACACTCAAAACCTTAATCGTCCGCTTTCACTGATTTTTACAATAACCGTAATTGCTGCATTTAAATCAGTCATACGTTAAATATGTCCCCACCCCTCAACTTGAATTCAAAAATAGAAGTTCTTATATTCCGAAAATAGTAAATTTCAACGTCTCATCCGAAGTTTTGGTTTAACATTTGATTATTAGGAAACAGATATTGAAAAATCAGCCAAATATCTCGGCATAACCTAGTTTTTTCTTGTTTTTTTTTCCTTTTCTGTCTTCCTATACTGATTCGATTTTTGTTTTCAATGTCTCCCTTCTCATTCTCTCGTCGTAGGTGAGAGATCATAAGACAAATTTCGAAATGGGAAGCCAATCAATGAGCCATCACTTGTCTCTTAAAAAAAAACTCAAATCAACGTTTTGCATCACCGGCTGTTTCCGTACGACCAATCATCCCCACGATCTCCCCGAGCAACCATCATCTCCGACAACTCCAACAGAGAGATCTACACAGAGCCCACGTGGTGTAATCAAGACCAAATCTCCCAGACTCACTCGAACGTTGTCCAAATCGCACGAGAAGTGTAAAAATCTGATCCATCGGATCGGCGGCGTAGGAGGAGTCGGTGGTGGTGTTAGCGGACACGGGAAGCATATTCGACGCCATACTACGGATTTTCATTACGACCCGTCGAGCTATGCGCTTAACTTTGACAGAGGAGACGAGGACGACAATGTCAATCGCTTTCCGCTTCGCAATTTCTCCGCCAGGCTGCCTCGTTCGCCGCCTTCTTCAGCAACGGCAACGGAGTTTACGATTCACAATCTTTTGCGGTGATGATTGATTTACTAAAATTTTAATCTTTTGTGGGGTCGTTTTGGATTTCTAAAAGTTTTGTTGCAAGTAATCTGATATTTTAGCAATTGTACATAAATATATAGTTTGACAAAAGTTATTTTGTTGGTAGAGTTGGACATTTGTATTTGATGTGCGCATGCCAATTTCATTTCAATTTGTTTTTCTGACCATACACAACAGCTTGTGGGGAAAATGGTCAGACAAAACAACACAGCTCAACACTTTAGTTTAAAGTCAGCTTGTGGGGGGGGAAAATAATTTACTGAAGGAAAAAATTTTACAAAAGGCGAAACAAATCAATCCAAAAGTATCTGAAAAAAAAAAAACTATAACAGTCTTAACCCATTGATCGTGGAAAGCCAGGCAACAGAACCGTCTCTTACATCCACCACAGTGAAAAGATAACTTAAAACTCACAAATGAGCATACTTACCCATTATGTCGACCACCATCCGAGTTGCATTAAACTTTTTAAATGTCGGTAATCTGATGAACTCCGTGCTTTATTGATCAAACAAAGCGAAAGAAGTCCTTTTATACTCCAGACCCTTTTTCTAAATTGAGTAAAAGACTCTGTTTGGACTTTTCTTAATGGAATAGCCAACTCAAAATCTCGAAGATGCCGGTTTACGCTCGTTGGAGTTCCTCTCTTCATGATATAAACCTTGAGGCATATCAGAAGATAATAACAAATATCCTCACAAATTCATCTTGAATAGGCAAAGCTGTAACTATTCAATAAAAAACGTATTTGTATCAGTTTCAGAGGTGTTAAAAAATATTTTGATTGACCTTTAATCTCTCCCTCATAGAACTTTGAGTAAAATTTACTTGTGGTAACTTTGTTAATAACTCATAATCTAGAGGAGCATCTACTCTCTCCATGGCTTATCAATACTTTCGCAATCTGCTAGGTACAAAGGAGATATTTATCAGTTAGGAACATTATTCAAGTAGACGATCTCAAAGTCCGCAACTTGACTTTGTGATATGGCAACTAATGTTCTTTAGTTACCCTTAATAGGGTACACGTATGGTTTCAGCTTTCCCCACAATTTTTACAGATTCTACTTCACTAACCTCACGAATCTACTCTGCAAACACGAGCACACATTTTACCGGTTAATCTGCGGTCACTCGCGAAAACTTCTGAACTCATTAAGATTAACCTAGCTCGATACTATAACACCTGAAGATCATGGTATTCAAATCCACATTCTGCGGTAAAACACACCGAACACGATTCCTGAAACCGCATTTCCCGTTTATTGTTTTACAAGCCGATCCACAACAACCTCTATGTCTAAAACGTTTTGATTATAAGCTCTTACCTTTCAAAATCTTTAAGAACAAGCAGAAATACTTGAGCATATAATTCAAATGATTACAATTTGATATTCATAGAGTAGAAGAAGCAGAAGCAGAAGCAGAATTGTGATTGACATATATACACATATATATATATATATATATACACACTTAAGGCAAACTTGGAGAGAATGAAGGATTTGTAACCTTAAGCTCTCCACAGTCACTAATGAAAACCGTCTTGAGAGGTCTGTTCCACAAGGATCGTGCGTTTTGAGCTCTTTCGTCTCCCAAAAACTCAGCAAAATCGTTAAACTGTCGAATATTCTCTGACGGCTTAAACGTCGGAACTGTAGCTATACTCGTCACCACATCCAGTCCTGAAGAGATTCACAAAATTCAGAGTTTGAAAATTAACTGAAAAATTGGGAAAATTCAAAGAAAGTTACCTTCAAGCACAGTTCCGAAGACGATGTTCCCGCCGTCTAGCTGCGGACAAGGACCAGGTCCTGTAGTGATTAAGAATTCGACGTTTCTGTAATTAGGATCGAGTCTGGTCTCGTCGTCGTCGTCGTTTTCGGATAAGCAGAGAGAGACGAGACCAGGACGAGCGTGAGGGAGGAGGAACGACTTGGAACTAACGACATCGGTGTTCCGAGGAAGATTCTTGAGGAGAGGACCAATCTCCGCCGTGTCTCGCCATAATCCTTGTCTTCCGGCGAGGAAAAACTGACCGGGGAAGATTTTGTGGATCGGAGTGTTTTTGTAAGATGTAGAAGAGGAAGAAGTGCACATGAGTTTGAAAGTGGAGACAGTGAGAGGGACGTGACGGCCATATAATCCGAGAACGACGCGGCCTAGAGGAGTTGAATCGGAGCAAGGTGTAGTGGAGGAGAGTGTGGCGGATGGATCGGAGCGGAAATAGGTGGGACAGAGGGAGAAATCGAGGAAGACGCGATCGGTGATTGTGATGTCAGGAGAAGGAGGGAGTTGAGGCGACGGAGATACGGTGGCAATTGTGGTCGAGAGGAGGAGATTACGACGGCTGATGATGCCAGCGGAGAGGATCGGAGGGAGAAGAATGGATGATGATGCCATGGTGGATGATAACAATCTCTCTCTCCCCTTTACTCGCTGTGTTGTACATTACCGTTTTAGCAATATG